AGAGCGCGGCGGGGCCGGCGCGAGGCGCGGAGCAAGCTGCGCTCCTGGGGCCAGGAACCCGCAGGAGGGGCCTGCGCCGGAGACCCTTCAGACCTGATTCAAACCCCTTCTGCGGGGCGGGGGTTACACCAGAAAGGCGCAGTCATCAAGGACGCTTTTTCCTAGTTCAGCACATTGCGGTCTGTTACATTTAGAATTAAAAAAGGCTGTAGGGCAAATAAAAAAAAATGCTGATTACTAATAACCATTTCTATAGATTTGAATTTAGACACAGGATAGCCACAAATCCCTAAAGACCCAAGGAGGACATGCTCACTCTCAGCTTTGTGGTAGCAACAAAGGGCCCTGCCTGTGCTGTGTTCGCAGTCCTATAGGATGTGCTTCCATACTGCTCTGACACATTACTGATAAGAGCTGATGCTTCCATTTGCCTCAGCTACACTGTTGTAAACTAATCCCAACAGGTAACACCAACAGGAACCGCAGAAGTAGAGAACACTCCTGATCTAGAAGAATAAAAATATCAGCTTTTATTTTAACACCACTTGATTTCCAACCCAGGTTTAGCTCAGAGGTTTGTATTAATTCATTGGTTCTTTGCCTATCTAATATTCTCAGGATTTCAAAAAGTATGTATTTTCTCTCCATTACCACATCTGATATTTTATTCTATCCCACTTCTAACATTTCTATTTCTATGACTATACACATTAAGTCATTCAGACCGAAGTCATCACATAATAGAGAAACAGTAACAGAAACTGTATGGCAGTGAGGTCTGGGGGAAAAAAAAAAAAAGAACTGTAATTGGGGACAATATTGCAATGAAGTCACTGGTTAAAATAAACCTACTTAAATGATACATTGATGTACTCTTTTTGTCTATTGTGAGATTTCTATTTGTGTCTAAATGCATCTATTTTACACAATAAATTTCTACTTAGGTGATAAACATGTTTCTACTTACATGAAATTGTTTCTATATCATTTCCTAATGTTTATCTCCTTAGAGCTAAATCAAACCCTCTTTGCCAAGCCTGTCTAACATGAAACGATGCAAGACTGCAGGAACTGATGGTGGGGAGAAAAAGGAATCCCAACCTCTACCTTCATCTGAAGCAAAGTACCCATTACAAATGTTGAAACACTAAGCAAAAAATATACAGGGAAAGGCAAACCTAAATCTCCAGACACAAACCATTTACAAGCTCCATCAGGCAGAGGCAACGCACTCACAAGCACATGATGTAAAAGGCAAGGACAGTATACCTGCAGTGCGATGGTCTAGTTTTCAGCATCTCAACCAGTATTCCATACAAGTGTGCTCACAAGCTCATATAACATGTGATAGATCTACAAATTGTCATAAATTATGTTTATTCACCATAGAAAAACCACTGTGTAAAAGTGCTGCCTTCGTTTCTTGCTAGATCTGTTTTGATTTGGCATCATTTGCTTCTACTACTACACATTCCTCTTCACAGTGCAGAATCAACACTGTGAAGAGCACAAGCTATTCTATTTTGGATTCTGTTTTGGCTCCTGCACAATCAACCCATTTTCTATTCTAGAACTATTTATTTCCAGTAATGATTCATGAGCCAGAAAGAATACCACTTGCCTATCACATGCCAAGATGTATTTACAGGAATAGCAATTAGAGTGCTTTTTTATTGTAGTGAGCGTAGCTGATACAGAGCCTAGAGAAATAATTGAAATGCAGCATTTCAGTGCTATTTTTGCAGTTGTTTTATAACCACACTTCAAAGCTTTTCATCTAATTAGCAGAAAAAAAAAGCACATTACCAAATCTATGCCTAGATGTTACAATTTCCTTACTTTTGTAGATTAGATTTTTCTGCTTATGCTGTCATTAAGCTAAGCAATAAACTAAATACTCTATTACTTGAAAAAATATATAGGAAAAGTGTTACTGGAGATTTTTATCAAGGGTGTCAAAAATAAATATAAACATTTGGCAGTAAGCCAGGTATCTTATGTTTGCAGTATGTGATTATGAATTATGTGACTCTTGGGTCCAAAGCAACCATCCACAGCATCATGCACAGGCCACAGAGTTCATTCAACAAGTCACTTAACATACACCATATATTTGTATACTACCTAAGGTGAAAAGGAAGACTCAAGGCTCTGGAAACAATATCTAAATAAATATGAAGCTGTTTACGAAACCATTAATGTCATAGGATTTATTCAAGTCCCATCAGCTTTACTACCAGTTTTTGCCATGCCTGCTGAGCTTGCACTTTTCATCTACACATCTTGGAAGCACTTCCAGCTTGTTCATCATAATATGTTTTTACAGGGGGAATTCTTAACTGAGATATTCCTAACCAAGGTATTTTTGAAAACGAACTTTAAAAAATACCAACATACATATTTCAGTTTAGCATAACGGAAATGTCAACTTCTTATACTTTTATAAACTACAAACCTAAACTTGTTCCTACATAGTTTTTCTTTTTTCCTCATAATAAATCGCTTTAAAGAACAATTCATTTTAAAGCATCATTTCAGCAGTTTTCTGATCAGACATTGAGATACAAACTGGAAAAGAATCAAGTGAAAAGGTGTATGTACGCATTTTTGAAATGTAACTCAGCATTTAAAAATACCTCTATACAGCATTAGTCTGCTATTATTAGCAAGACTCCCAGATTGACTCCCAGATTTAAGCACCGCACATTTTCCTTGTTCACGGAAGAGTGGGAAAAAAACAGCTGTGTTAAAAGACTATCTGAACATATATGTCCTTGACAGACAAAAGGGAGGATTTCTGTCACTTGAAATCAGTAGGCTACTATCTGCTTGGCACTTGCAACTATTCCTGTTCATCTGTGGCCACATAAAGCTAATCTCAATTCGAAAGGCATTTTATTACAAAATGGCAGAAACAACTGCTAGAAAAGCCAGACAAATCTGTGTTTTTTTCTCTTAGCAATTCAAGGCTTATTTTTCACGTGAAGAAACCTTGCTCCTTGTGAACTAGTCGCCCCTCCTAGGAGCGCAGGGAGCGCCAAGGCAGCCCCGCTGCGCAGCGGCCGCCGAGAGCCTTACCCCAGCGCGGA